AAGCCAAAATTCCCTTGATCTTTTGACATATAAGAGGTCATTGTACTATAAAAACACCCTGTAAGTTTCAGAACTTTCTCGTTAGTCTAAAAACAGCGTATGTTGAAGCCAGTCTGCCAAAATGACAGGTTGTGGAATGTGCCACTTAATTACGTAATAGTGTGGCTAAACACGACCTCTGCAGAAAAAGATCAATGCCTCCTTCTACATTGCTGCCCGTTTAGCCCTGCCCACCGATTGGCACATGTAAAGACGGCTCCAAAGGCAACAAGATGCTGTGCAGTGCCAAGCTGTGGAAAAACAGTCTTTGCATTGCCTTCCTTCTGATCCCAACATTAGGAAAGAGTGGATGAACTTTATTTCCAATTAAGTTCCAAACCGCGTCAAGAACTTGGTCCATTGTTCACTTCTTTTTACTACGGATTCGTTTACAAACAAGGCACAATACGACGTAGGATTTTAAAAAAAAAAATGAAACTGAAAGGCGATACTGTTCCTGACTATACTGGATCCAACAGTAATGTCGCAACACACAAGTGTTAGTAACTGTTTTTATTACATGGTCACTATTGCTTTATCTGTTAAACAGATTGTTTGATGTGAGTATTTATGCGTTTTTTGACCGAAATTACTGCAGCGTCCATCTGTGAAAGGCTGTCAAACAAAGGCTGTCAAACATACACAACTGTTAGCCAATCATAGCAGTGGGCGTTTACTTCTGAGTCTATAATCAGCCACATCTATTCAAACAGCGTTCTGATGAGGGGGTTAAAAACAGGACATGAAATAGCCTATTACTTCTAAATTATGATGTTTTTGATGCAAAAATTATAAACATTTTTAAGCACTATTATAAACACAATTAAACATTATAAGTGGAGCTCATAGAACAGTACAAAATAAAAAAACAAAGGCAGTTCATGACCTCTTTAATTGTTTTCAAACCGTTGGTCATACCGTTGGTCACGCAGACAGAAGTGAAACAAATTGGTTGAGTGAATGATTCTGTTACTCACCCAGAAAGTGTTTTTGAATGGAATTGCTGAATCAATGATTCCATATCTTGTTTATAATGACACTTAATCATAGCAGTGGGCATTTACTTCTGAGTCTATAATCAGCCACATCTATTCAAACAGTGTTCTGATGAGGGGGTTAAAAACAGGACATGAAATAGCCTATTACTTCTAAATTATGATGTTTTTGATGCAAAAATTATAAACATTTTTAAGCACTATTATAAACACTATTAAACATTATAAGTGGAGCTCATAGAACAGTACAAAATAAAAAAACAAAGGCAGTTCATGACCTCTTTAATTGTTTTCAAACCGTTGGTCATACCGTTGGTCACGCAGACAGAAGTGAAACAAATTGGTTGAGTGAATGATTCTGTTACTCACCCAGAAAGTGTTTTTGAATGGATTTGCTGAATCAATGATTCCATATCTTGTTTATAATGACACTTTTTGCCACCTACTGGCATATCAATGTAATCTGAAGAAAGAGTCAGTAAAAATGGCAGTCTGTCTTATACATGCAAACACACACAAGCGTTGTGATACAAACAGGTAAAAGCCTCAATACACCGTTTTTGAAATGACACACATCCAATCATATTCCACACTGAATGGATAATACTTCTTGAATCAGCTTGGTAAACACTATTGCCATGCGATGTTCTCAACAGACATTCCCCCAACCGTTCCAGCACAGCACCCTGGGCACTGCCCACATGAAGATGATGACAATCCAGTGAGGTGGATACCTTTCAAAGACAGCTGCTATGCTTTTGTGACGGACATGCAATCATGGAGCAGAGCAGTTAGACTCTGTATGACATGGGGTAAGGATATAAATGGATTTAAAAATCTGTTTACTCAATTACATGACAGGTGCAAAGAACAAAAGAGTAAGAAAGTTTGCACTTCGGTTTTCAGGTGCATCTCTTGTCAGCATTAAGGATGAAGGGGAACAGAAGTTTATAGAGAACAACATCATGCTCCTTGAAAGTTACAAAGACTTTTGGATTGGGCTTTTCCAAACCCAGAAAAGTAATACACCAAATATACACTTTTCCAGTGGCCCCGAGTTTTCACATGAATAGTGAATGAACTCATGAGCCTAAAAGAGTTGGTTATATATGAACTCACCCTGGGTTATCTAACTACACAGGTCACTGGTTATGGTCAGACAATACCGTGGTAGATTACACTAACTGGGCAGCTGTGACCGATTATGAAGATGACTATCAAGACCATTATTGGAATAATGACTGCGCATTAATCTCTACCAAAACTAAAAAATGGAAAAAACAGCATTGTGATTACTCAATCTTATCATTTATCTGCAAAACTGCCAAAGGTACGTATTGTGAAATTTCAAAATAGCATTTTTAGTGACATTTTGTAACATAGGGGAAAGCGGAATTAGTAGTTGTCAGGGAAACAGAGGATTGTGTCTTAACTAATGTTTTGAGTAAAATGTCCAACAGCATGATTACATCTTTTATAAGCTTTTTATATTATTTTAAAAGCTTTTATTTTAGCAGTACTTATCTATGCTGGTTTCAAACACCTAATTCAAATCTTGTGAACTCAGTCATCCAAATTAAAATGACTATGCAGTAAATTATTTGTGCAGTGACTCGTAGGTGGCCACAGTTGTTTCAGCATTTTGCTGTTTAAATCTTCCTGAAAAGGCATTAAATACCCTATGATATATTTTAAATACAAGTATGTTGTGGAAGATGTCATTTTTACTTTAAACATTTGTATTCATGAAAATATATTCTTGTCAAATAACAGAAGGGCCACATATTGTGAGAATTTACCCTATATTCAAAAATAGATTTTAGGGTAGACAAAAAAAAAAATCTACTCACTGAAGTAAAGCTTGTGACAAATAACACCAAAAATAATTTCGGACCTGATCGATAGATATGCTTAATATGAATGTTTAGAGTAAAGGGGAAATAAAACACCAACATTACATGATCAATCTATTTTGTCTATAACATTTTATAGACAGATGTTATAACATTCCTTGTTTAAAAAAGACCAGATTTTTTTTAATTCAGTTTTTTTCTTCTTCTGCAGTAATAAGTCCTACCATTAAGGACCCACAAGAAGGTAGTATTATGACTTATTTTTAAGGACTTTACTTACACTTTTTTTTGTCAAGACATATTAAAAAATCTAATTTAATGTCAAGAAAAAGCAACCTCTCTACTTTAAAATGGACTGATTCCTAAATGTGCATATGTAATATAATAAAACTGCATTTTGATGTAATGTGTATATCAGTTTCACACTAGATAGTTTCTCTTAATACTTTTATCTCTTATTTCTTCACAGGTCCTGAACCTTCCAAGGTCAATACGGGTTTGGCTGTGTTCTTGAGTATTGCAGTGATTGGCATACTGGGAGCTCTAGCTTTCATGTACTACAGAAATTCAAAAAGACGGTTATTGCCTACATTTGAAAATCCCATGTATAATAACAGAGATGCTGCTTATTCATATAGTAAAGATAACAAATCATTGATTGGCAACATTGAGATCGCTGAATAGAACAGTGTTTTATAATGTCCAATTACTTGTATATATGTAAGAGATGGTCAGGCGGTTATTATCTTAAAATAATAATAATAAAAAAAAAACAATGACAGGGCTCATCAGGTTTATTTTGCGATAATGGCTGTACGTTATCCTGCTTATTACATGGCTACTCACCAAATATTGATTTGGGTAGAACATATTTTATGTTAGAAGAAACGTAGCTATGTAGAAGACAGTTGTTAATTATAAGTTCAGCACTCATTATGCCAAAAATATCTAACTGCAGAATGGTGTAAATGAGCAGTAAGAATTAAATATTCCAAAGAATCATCCAGAATCACTGATTTAATATGCCATTGCCATTGCTCTGTATAGGTTTTTTTTAAGGGTTTTCAGACTGTCTTTGAGTTTTTAAAAAGTTTGTGAATAAGTTGAATAAGAACTGTCTCTAAATAAATATTTACACTGATATATCCGTTTTTGAGCAAACCACCAATTACACACCAACTGTGCAGTGCAAATTAGTTTAAGCATGGAAAAATTGTCATCTTTCAGGGTGCAGTGCCAAAAAAACCAGGATAAAATGACGTATAAAGGTCAGCTGACATGGCACCATTTGCAGTGTTAGGACAGTGTTGGACCACAATTTAACTTTTCCATTTTCAGTTTCAGACAATGTTATGCTCTCTTTGAGTTCAGTGGCAATTTCAACCATAAGGAAATTATTGTTTTTCCTGAAACACATTCAAATATAGAAGTGTGTTAAATAAACTTTTTTGTTGTTTTCAGAACTGTACTGATTTTATATTTATACTGAATCTGTGCTCAAAAAAGTCCTTCATAATATTTGCAATGTTACAATAAGGTCCTATTAGTAAATGCATAAACAGATAAAATAAAAGCGATAAAACTTTCACATTATTAAAATCAAAAGCTGAAATGAACATGAACAAAAAGTAAATGCTTTAGAAGCATTTTTCATTGTTAATGTTAATGAATGTAGTTAACTAATGTTAACAAATTCAAGTGTTACTATAATACATAGTGAGGTGAATGCACAATAAGAGCCACATGCAGAAAAACAATGCACGAAAACATCAAATGGTAAATCGTACATGTGCATTATTTGTTTAGGAGAACATTTCAAAGACAATTTACAGTCAGACCAACTGAATAATCAACCTACAAATGTCTTGTTGTTTCTGTGTTTTAAACTAGCATAACAGAAAATATTTTAACATCCAAAATATCCACCTTATTTTTTTTTTAGCATTTTTATGTAAATGTGCAAGACTTCTAATTCATTAGGCGAGATAACTAAAACTAAAAAGTGTAATAAAATGATTGAAAACAAATTTCTTTGAAATACAAATCAGCGCATTTATGATTTTGATCAATTAAAATATGATAACAAACACCAGTTTGCAATATCAAGCAGCATAACAGATTCTTATGTTAAAAATAAGGTGGAAAAAATTCATAAAAAATAACTAGACTAGACTGTCATTGTTTGAATGTTGGTAAAAAACAGACCTTCCAATCCTTGAGGTGAAGCATTTTTATGTAAATGTGCAAGACTTCTGATTCATTAGGCGAGATAACTAAAACTAAAAAGTGTAATAAAATTATTGAAAACAAATTTCTTTGAAATACAAATCAGCGCATTTATGATTTTGATCAATTAAAATGATATGATAACAAACATCAGTTTGCAATATCAAGCAGCATAACCGATTCTTATGTTAAAAATAAGGTGGAAAAAATTCATAAAAAATAACTAGACTAGACTGTCATTGTTTGAATGTTGGTAAAAAACAGACCTTCCAATCCTTGAGGTGAAAAGCCCAAGTGAGAATTCTTTAGTTTGCCAATATTTCATGCAGCCAATAGCAGCACAATGTGAATGCATAATTAACCCATTTAATCCCAATTTTTTCTCAGACATGAAAATATCAAAATGATGATTTCTGTGTGGCTAGTCCCGTATTATATTCTTAATATTTTCATATCTACCACTAGTGTTGGCAGCATGTTCTACAAAAGGCCAACTGAAAAAAAAATAAAAAATCCCATGTCAGTGAAAAGCATACTTGAGATGAAAAATTATATATGAAGTGTGAGGAAAAAGAAAATGGGATGTAATTTCCAATCTAACTATGTCAAATTATGTGAAAAAAGTGTGAAACTATTACTTGTGTGTATTTAGGATACATACAACGATAGCAAGACATTAGACTTAAAATGAGACAAGACAAAATGAGTCATTATTCCAAAAAGAAAAAAAGAAATTACATTGCCATTTCCACCACAGAACACTATTAAGCACAATGGATTAGAAATAAGGGCCATGTTAAAAGGATGCCATCAAAGAGGTTCAAAATTTGGGTGTTCATATTGATTTTCTAAAGAAACTGACTCTGAGTTTATCAGAGGTAATATATCAAGCGCATAACAAGGTGATATTTTGTATGATGATTAATTGACCACTACACATTAAAACGTTAATAACCAATCCGCATGAAAATAGAGCTTATCAAGAAAACTTCCAATTCATTCCTATAGGACATTGTGTAAAGTTGGGGGAATAGTTCACCCAAAAATGAGAATTTGCTGACAGTTTTGTTTAGAACTGTTAGGTATGGTTTTCGCTTGTAAACGTTGCATATCTGTGCATATTTCTCTCCTGATTCAGATGAGACAACTGAATCAGATTTTAGCTGGAAGCAATGGTTTGATGTTAAAATTGTCTTGATGGATTTGTTTATTACAAACAGGGAGCGTTTCGCTTCTCAAGACATTCATTTACGGACTGGAGATGTGTGGATTACTTGTGGATTTTTGTGATGTTTTTATTAGCTGTTTGAGCTCTCATTCTGATGGCAGGGGATCCAGTGGTGAGAAAGTGATGTAATGCTAAGATTGTCCAAATCTTCTCCAAACCCAAACAAACAATTTTGAATGGCCCGAGTAAATTTTCTGCAAATTTTGGGGTGAACAATTCCTTTTCTCTTTCTAAACTATTTTTTAGAAGGGTCTCCTGCAATCATATGGAAAACATTTTAATGTCTTTAGCATTTACAGAGGGAACACTTACATTGGGACACTGGGCCAGTTTGTCTGCGGCCACCATCTGAACATTCAAATGTTTAGTCTGAGATTTGCCCCTGGTCTTTATCAATCTTGTCAGAACCTGAACAGCAGATGAAAAGAGGAAGGAAAAAGGGACAGGAATGATGAGTGTGAGGCATATGGGGTAAAAGAACAGTGGATGTTAGGTCACGCTGGGTCACAAGAGAAAGGTTAGTGTTTTTGTACAACCGGTCTTCTCTCAAACTTGCGTTTCCTATGTAAATGTAATGGCTGCACATTCAAAAAGCTTTTGGACAATGAATGAAACCATGCATTGTGTAGCCTAGTGACAGACAGATAGATCTTATTCATATGACAGATATTTATCATTTTGAATGATATTGAGTGCACTTTAAAAGACATTTGCAGTTATCAGAAAAGTGACAAGTTTATCAAACAAGTTGATATAGTACCACATCAGATACTGCTGTACTGACAGAATAAACATGTTTCTGCCTCCTAGTGGCTGAAGTAATTTTTTTATACCATCTATTAGCTTACACCATAAAGTCAATGGAATACTTGAACATACTAGCAAATAATACTTTTAATATTTTGCAGACTAGGGAAATGACATAGAGCAGCTGGAACTGGTTAACATAATGAATGAAAGCTAAATTAATTTCTTTCTGATGACTAAACAGCTATTTAACGGATGACTAAGTATTGAACATTATTTAATTCCTAAGTGTTGAACATAATCCTCCACACTTAAAAAGTCCTGTTTTGGAATAAACAAATTTGGAATTACAAAACAAACATTTAACTCACCCAAATCATTCTAATTGATCAAAAGTCACAGAGTAAAGACATTTAAAATGTTACAAAAAATTATATTTCATATAAATGCATCTTCTGAACATTATATTCATCAAAGAATCCATAAAAATGCATCATGGTTTCCACAAAAAACGGTTTACAATAACTGTTTTCAACATTTTGATTTTTCTTGAGCACCAAATCAGCATATCAGTGATTTCTAAAGGATCTTGTTACACTGAAGAATGGAGTAATGGCTGTTGAAAATTCAACAGCCATGTTTGGGTGAGCATAAGAGACTTTTTTAAAACAATAAAAAAACCTTACTATCCACAAATTTTCAACGGTAATGTATAATCAGTTTGTTTCATCAGTAAACAAATGACTATTGAAAAAATGTTTGCGAGTTCTGTGAACACAGTTTCTGACCTTGGGTGATGAAATCTTGACATACACCAAGATCGGGGCCAAGGAGGTCTTGCTGAGTTGGAGAGGATGGTTAATGGTGTCGGCATCCAGAACTACAAGCTGTAGACTGCGTGCTAACTCAAAAATCCTCTCAACCTCTCCTTGGATTTGGGCTGTAGAGGCAGATTAAGAAATAAATGAGACTAGTCAACCTAAAATCCTTATATGACATCTTCAAAAACATTATTCTATCTAAGTACAAATCTGCTGAAGTGTAGCCAAAAGCACTTCAAATGTAATGGGAAGCATTTTATGTCAGATTCCTCTATTATACATAAGATTAGAAGAACATCAAAAATGATCAAGAAAAAAAGCTTTTTGCACTATTTCATGAAGTATATATATATTTTCTAGACTCTCTCTGATTCTGAACCAAAGTTTATTATTTAATATCTGAAGCCAATACATTTAGAATATATTATGTAATTTGTACAGAATGGCATACAGACAGACAAACATTAAGAAATGGACAAGAAGTGATTACCTAAACTGGAGCGGTTGTTGGAGCGATCCATTATGGCGTGCTTGCTGGGGTTGTTGAGGATCGATCGCTTGGCAAGTGCAATATCTGCTGTCACCCGGGTGATAGTAATTCTAGCAATGGATTTACATATTAGCAAAGTCACAACACTCTGTTTGACTACACACATTTCTTCTTTTGTAATGAGTCAACAGTCCGTGGGCCATACCTTCCTTCAAATCTGTGTTTTAAAAAATCAAAGAGAGC